AAAAAACTATCTTTATTTTAATTTTAAATAAGAATTTAAGTATAATTTAAAAATATGACTTACCGTCTTTATTCATTCCCTTATTGTATGCAAAAATGAGGATAATATTCAATATTATTGTTATTATAGTAAAAGTTATTCATATACAGTATTTATATAGTTAAAACTTTATAATCATAAACTTTCTGTATTAGACTACACTATGATATTTATTTAACTATAAGTCTTATAGTATTATATGAAATATTCTCATTATTTGACAAAACACCATATATTATAAAATATTAATCAAGACATACCATTGTTAGACACTTTTTGAGTCGACATGACTGGCATTGATTGCGGTGTTGTTTGTCTATAACACAACCACCAGTTCCCGCTTGACATCTATTTTGCAAATGTGCTTTTATAATATTTATTTAATTTAAGATATCACATTTATTTTTAACCATCACTTAAATCAAAATAATATTTTATAAATTATTACTTAAATATAATATAATATGATATTATCATTAATTAAAAATTATTTAAATAATATTTTGCTATATATAATATTTTATCTTATAAATTGCTATAATCATAAAATGTATTACTAATGTTCTAATCATATTGAGCACAAGTAAAGAGATACTTGTACAGAAAATTCTAACAAGTACCAATATGCCATAAGAAATGATTTTAAAATTAACTCGATAACCGATTTAACTCGATAAACGGTATTTACGATTGATAACTTTTGATTAAAATGAAAACCTAAAACCTAACAATAACCTAAAAATGATAAATAAAATCCTTGTTTTATAATATTTGTAATACAGTAAAGCATTAATGGTTTGAAATGAATAATGAAATAATGAAAAGACCTATAAATAAGTTTTCTTCGGACACTCCTCTTGAAGAAACCGCTGCACCAAATGCAAGCAAATTATTAAGTTTGTAATTCAATGAATGAATACATTATGTGAATTGAATGTGAATACCTGCAACCATTACACGCAAGTATGCCATAATGTTTACCACTGGATGTGTCGCCACAAACCACACAAAGAAGTCCAGGCGATGGCCGCTTAATAGAGTTTCGCATAATTTGGTTGTTTTGAGTGAATTCACTCTGATTTGAATGACTCGATCCGGAAGAGCACTGATTAGACGAGAGTTGAGTGGAATATGCGAGCGATTCGTGCGAGGAATTAGTGACCGATAGGTTGAGAGGTCTTCCCTGACTTATGTTGTTTGCAAGAATCGGTTTGAAAAGAGTGGGACTTATGAAGAGGGGCGAGGAGTTGGTCAGCGATGGAAAGGGAGCCGAAGTGCAACTATTTATGAATGAAAGGTTGGCGTCGAAGAGGTTTTGTTTCTTAAGCGGAATGCCATCAAAACGCGACAATAAATGTGTTTGCGTTTGGCTTTGAGGGGAAATGGCTTTTTGTGGCTTTGAATCGGGTGTGGACTCAGAATCGCTGCCATCAGAAGACGATTGAGAATCTGAAGCATATATGAGATGAGAAGAGAGAGAGAGATTGAGAGCATAACTATAAGTATTACTATATTCTAGTGAATGGTATTCATTGGTCGCGTATAATATAGAGCGATATGTATTGCAATTTAAGTAATCCATTCACGCGAGTCATCTCTCTATCGAAATAATGTCTGCACTAAGCTTTTGGTCGTTAGACTGAATGTGTTTTATCATAATAGCAAAGATGCGTGTCTTTTATGGGCTATAACTATAACCCAACAGACAAACAGACAAATTGAAAGAGGATTAGATAGCAGTCATTCCGACTTTCTATCAAATCTAATACAAGCACTGCATCACTGATACTGTATATGACAGTGCACTGTAAAGTATAGTCTCAATGTCTCAATGTGGCCGACTATGTGCCACACTATGTGCAGTCTTATTGATTGTGCGATTTGTGAAATTGTGACGCTAGTGATGCTACCGATGCTCCCATTGCTCCCATTGCTCCCATTCCTCCCATTGCAGTCATAGTCGCTACCAGTGATGCACTCTTTTAAGCCGATTACACCAAAACGCATCACTTTAATTGATTTGTATAGACTTTACAACCAGACCTATACTCCCGGTACTACCACTCTATGCTCTCTACACACATATAATTCAATCTCCGCTCAAACATTAGTGGTTTGCGACTCACTATCAAATCATGCGAACAATACATGGATTTCCACTATTGGCACCTGATATACCAGTGCTTCCTATTAATCACCGATTATCTAATGCACGGATTAAGCTGTGATTTGAAACCAAATACAATAATACCTTATTTATGCCCAAAATTAATGAAAACTTGAGTATTATTTTCTGTAATAATTTATGACAAATATTTTCATTATATTCAATCTCTTATATTCATAATATTCATTTTATCAGTATTATATTATATTATATTATACAGTATCATTATAACTTATTTCCAATCTGATAATCACTGATTTTTATTGTATATTATATTTATTAATTAAACCCATTTTATTAATTAAGTATTAATTAAGTATTCTAGTAACTAGTTTCATAATGCTCGAAAATGTAAAATCTATCATTTTATAAATAAATAATGATAGCAGTTTAAATAAGATAAATTTATAACAAGAAACACAATAATAATTAAATGGAATATTTAGCTAAAAATTGAGAATATCTTTATAACTTGATTGGAGAGAGGATTCATTCACTAGTTCACTAGAAGTGAGTCTTCACAACATAATTGCAATTTATAATTGAGAAGAAATAATATATTAAAAACACGACAATCAAAGTGACTATTTATCAAAGATAAGGTCTTTATGGTCACAGAAATTAATACAATACAATAAAACACTATACTTAATGTCACCTTTTAATATATCTTTTGGTGGATTCTAGTGTTTATAATGAATGCTATGTTTAAAACAAATTATAAATAATAATTCATAACAAATTAGTTGAACGGTAATTGCATTTCAATAATGATTT